GATAAGTAGCAACAAAAGCTATTTTCTTCCAAAGCATAGAGTTTACTAAAAGTGGCAAACAAAATTTGACAGAGTTTAATCAATATGAATTCAGATGAGCAAGAGCTGTTTATATATTGCACCAGAATTTTATCAATGAAACATTTTGGCCTCCTCCTTTGAAGAATTGGAAGGAAAGAACAAGTGGCATGTTTCAAATGTAATATTTTCCCTTTTATTATATTAATACCTGTCTGTGCATGTGCAGTTCTGCCAATGTGTTCTTGCCATCCCCTTTTGATAAAATATGAGCAAACAGGATATTTTAAGGAAATAAGGTCATGTTACTGAAGAGGGTTTGAAACATCTAGTATGGAAAAACAGTTGATGTACTTTCTCCCAGCCACTGTTATTTCTATTAAGCCTGATTGCACAAACTATTTTAGGATTTGGTTCAAACTTTGCCAATCTTTGTATCTACATGTTCAGCACTCATAGAGATGACAAAAACAACAAAAAGGAGCACTTCTCCCATGAAAGAGAGGTGTGGTGAACTACCCATTTCCTTGTCAACATAGAAAAGTTTCACAACCAGAAAGTAATGAGAAAGTTGTGTTTTCCCATACAATATTACTCTGCAAAACTGTACTCTAAACTGAATGCTAATTTTAGCTTTTGAGGGTTCAGCTATTCCAGCTTGTAAATTTGTTGTTCAAGTTAATGCTTTTAATCACTCGGCATATTTGATTACTATGGTAGTTTAATTTGTTTTAATGCATTATTTATTGTGTTTTAATTTTACTTGTGTTAACCTTGTGAACTGCCTTGAGTCCTTTTACGGAGGCTTATAAAGAGGAGTAAATAAATGAATAAACTAAAGCACTTCACAAGGATCTCTCTGACATATACAAGAGTTTGGCTGAGATCCCTGGAGTCCTGCGGTCAGTTGTCTTCCTACATGCCATGAGTCATATAAAAGAAAGCTGAAGTTCTTCAGAAAGAATTTCTTTCTGCTGCCTCTCTCTCTCTCCAAGAGTGAGGTAGAACAAGCCAGACCACACTATGACAAACCAAGCTTGGGCTAGCGAATGTATCTAAGGCCAAGTCAAGAATCACCACTCCAATAAACACCAAATGCAATTTGGCCAACAGCCTGAATGTACAAAAGCCATTTCCCTGATTGCCTCTGTAACGCATGTGTTGATCACGGGCCATTCCATGATGTTCACTAATGGTCATGCCAAGCCAGGAACCTCACTATGCCCAAAAGGGGTGACATCCCAGCCAGAGCACTTAAGACAGATTTGATCAAGTTGTCCTTCGGAAGCCAAAAGTTGCTTCCTCCAATCCTTTAATGGGATGAGAAGATATGTTCTTAACTTGTCCAGTCATCATCATTCTTCTACAATCCTCTGGTCAAAAACTAGAAAACGGTATTACACCTCTTTGGACCCCTCTTTCGCTTTCTGCATCTAAATCAGGCGACTCCACGACTCATTGCAGGGTAAGAACCAGATCGAAACGCAAGACGGACCCTGCCCCTTCTGAAAGACTAAACCTCGTTGGAGAAGTTTACACCAAGTTATCCTCAGTCTGGCCTGAACACAACAAGCCTCTCTGAAAGCCCTGTGGGGTGGGAGAGCCACAAGTGAAGTCTACGGAGAAAACAAGCGGGGAGGGGAGGGAATGAGAGCGAGGGGGTGCTGGACAACCCCCCGGGCGGGGTCCCCTCGGCTCCTGCCCTTTCACTGCCATTAGGGACCATCTGGATGCTACCAAGCGACCTGGGCGAGAGTCCCGGGAGAGAGTCCCCTCCGATCGGGCGCCGCTCGGAGCTGTCCAGGACTCGCGGGTGCTGAATCCCGAGCAGCCTCCGCGACGAAGCACCCAGGAACCGAGGCGGCGGCGGCGGCGGCGGCGCGGGAGACAGAGGACGAGGCCGGGAGGCGGAAAGACGGAAACAAAGGCGCACTTACCAGAGTTTTGTTGCCGTTTTTGCTGAGCGGACCTCGGAAAACCCCCTTGATGTTGCGAAAGTGCCCATTGCTGAGGTGCGCCGAGCTGATGACAATGTAATAACACTCCATGGGGCAGCCGCCGCCGCCGCCGCCGCCGCGCGGGCTGCAGCAGCCGTTTCCATGCACCCCAAGGGCGCCGGTCAGGCGAGCCCTGGGAGCCGCCGGATGTTGGTGCTGCTGCTGCTGGCGGCGGCGGCTGGAGCGAGGAGCGCGGGGCGAGGCTGGAGGGAAGACCGGACGTCCGAGCGCAAGCCTGCCTGCCTGCCTTCCCTCCGCGGGTGATCTCTCCGGCGACGGCCGAGGCAGCCGCTGCAGGCGCCGGAGGAGCCTGGCTCTGCCTCCTTTCCGCAGGGCGAGCCGAGAGCTCGCCGGCAACGGCAGCAAGAGCACCAGCAGGAGGAGGAGGAGGAGGCGCCGGCAGGCAGGGGCCGGATCCTGGCTGCCTTTTCCTCCGCTCGCTCGCTTTGTCAGCGCTGGGCTCCCCGGAGGAGGAGGAGGCGGCGACGGCGGTGGAACGGCCGCGTGGGCGGTCGGGCGCACACGCCGCCTTCCCCCGTCGGCCGCCACTCGCCCACCCCAGGTACTCCTTCCCGCCCGCCCACTGTCCTGGGCTCAAGCCCTCCTCAGGAAAAAGCGCGGGAGGGGGAACGGGGCCGTGGGGGGGGGCAACAGCGGGGAGAATCTCGAACGGGGAGAGGAAGCGAAGGCAACCCCTGTCCACAAGAGCGGCTAATGCTGGAGGAAAGTCCGGGCGGGGCAAAGAAGCCTGGAAAGGGGTTATTTCGTGTCGGAGAGGGGCCAGGCCCGTATTTGTCTCCAAGTGGCCGAGGGAAGGCTCCCCGTTAGGGGCAGTGCCCCCACGCCCCCGGCCGGCCGGCCGGTGAAACTTGCAGCCGCTCTCCTCGCCTCGCAACCCCCGCCCCCCATGTTGGTGTCCCGCCAATTCCTGGTTAGGGAAGACGGGTGGGGAGGTGGAGTGTATTCCGCCTTCGGTGCTTTCTGAGGGACTGATTTTTTTTTCTCGCGGGGACGTGACTTGAGGGAGGCGGGAAGGGCAGCGGCGTGGCTCTTTCACCCGGCGGGCGGTTCCAGGGAGCTTCCTTAGGCAACGGCAGTCTCCCCGAGGACCGAGGGCTTGGGTGGGAGGAGGCCCGGCCTCTTCAGGGGCTTGCCTCGGGGTTTCCCCGCCGCCGTGGGGCTAGCCCTCTCGGCAGAAGGCCCCACGGTTTGCTCTGCTCTTCTCCTTTGTCCCGCACCCACCCTCAGGCGCTGCCCACAGTCGTTTCCCGCCCAAACGGCGCCAGCGACCGACCCTCTCGGGCCTCCGAGAGCCTCAGTCCGAGCCTCCAGTGACCCACTAACACAGAAAGCGCTTCCCGATTCCTCCTCCCTGCGTAACGCTACGCCAAGCGGAGAGAGCCGGGAAAAGCTTGCAACCGCCCCGTACAGCCCCTCCCTTCGAGGACTCCCCTGCCTCCCTCCCTCCCTCGGCCACGAGGAGACAGCTTCGCCTGCTAAGCGCCGTCGCCCGCCTTTTATACTTCCCGACCGACCTCCCCGCCCCTTTTTCGTGCGTCCCTTCACTGCCACGCCCCCCCGCAGCCCCTTTTTTGCACCCTGGAGCCGCTTAACCCTTTCAGGACGGCGCTCGAAAAACCATGCCCCCTTTCCTCCTCTCTCTCTCTCTCTCTCTCTCTCTGTGTCTGTCTGTCTGTCTCGCTGGGAGTTCCTTATCCACCTCGGCGCTCCTCTGGCGAGCGTCCTTGATTGCTTATAAACGGGTCTCATTAGCAGACACTTAAAGGGATCAATAGTAGCCGGCGGACCTGTCCTGCTTGCGGGGATTTCCCGAGACTTTTGCTTCGTTCGCGCTGAACCCGGGCTGGCCGGGGTCTGGGCTCCCTTGCGAGCGAGCACGCGGGCCGGAGCCTGGCTTGGCAGCGCGGAGGGCGAGGGGGAAAGGGTGGGAGCAACAGCCCGCGAGCCAGAGAAAGACGGTGAGGATGATTGCCCGTCTGGAAGAGATATTGCTCTTCGCACTTTTCCCTGCTGCTTTTAATCTCAGCGTTATACCTATTGTAACATCTGGCAGAACATTAGAAGTGCTCCTCGCTGCCCTAGACACACCGGCTGCGATCCGACCCGCCCTTACCTGGGGGTAATAAGCCCCGTCGGGACTTAACTTTTGAGTAGACAGACAGGGAGAGGCTTCCGGGCTTCGCCTCGGAGAACTGACCGCGATGAGTAACCCCCTACCTCCAAACCCTTGCTCCGGAGTAAATGTGCAGGGACCGCTGTCCTAAAGAGAACCCTCCTAGTAACGTTTGTTGTTATGAACGTACCTAGAGCGATCCTAATAGGGCCTACATGATAAGTGGGATATTTAAGTAGTGGTTTTACCAGTTCCAACGTCCCAGGGAGTTTCTATGGCCAAGTGGGGATTAGAACCCGGCGTCCAAAGTCCTAGTCCATCACTCTATCTGCTACTCCACAGCGGGCACCCCCTCACTCCTGCGATATTTGTGTAAGGCTACAGTCCTAGGCTCTCTTATTTCGAAGAAAGACTCACTAATGTCCAGTAAGAGGGAGGCTGCCATTTTGGACAGGTATCCCTGGGAGAAATTCCTATTGCACACAAACACTTCAAAATGCACATGAATAACAAAAAAAAAGAGTCAGGAAGATCCACTTGTATTTTTCATGAAGCTTTAATACAGCTTCCTCCCCCCCCACTTCCATTTTTACAGTAAGCCCTTTTGTCAAGGTTTCAGGTGACAAGTGGTTCTTGGTGACCTGACCAAGTCTTCAAAAATTGTCAAGACACAAGATTTGCACAACATATCAGCTTGCAAGAGGACACACACACACACACACACACACACACACACACACACACACACCACACACACACACACACACACATTCTTGTCAAACAAATGTTCTAAAGCTAATGAGAAGGATGGTCTGCCTCAGAATGCAGGGGTTTAGCTCATTTTGGATAATGACTACCAGGAGGGATCTCTGCCTTGCAGCATCTTCAGAGCTGCATTTCCTAGCTCTCCACTTGGGGGAGTCTGGGAATTTTCTAAATAAGAAAATACTTACAAAACTTTGGTTTAAAGCAGAACTAGTGTTGGATATTGTAAGCCCTGAGCCCTTCTTCTCTGCCAGACCCCCTCCCAAGTGGGTGGGTGGGTGCAGGTTAAATATCAAAGCGATTTATAGACTTCCAGAATACAGTATGAAGATATATTTCATTTTCTGGTCATGCAACCATTGGAGGGGAAGGGGGAGGTTTCATAAGTGGATCAGCCAGGCTTTCCTCTAAATGACTGGTTGATCAAGGGGGTTACTATATTTAAAGGGATGGCTTTATTTTGTTTTAGAAGAGATGGTCGTGTTAGTCCCTGCAGGCATATTAGGCAAAAAGAACAGACAAATTTTAAAAAGAGGGGGGGAAAGTGTTGTAGTACCTTGTGTGTGTTCTGTGTGGTCAAGTCGGAACTGACTTATAGTGATCCTAATGGGGTTTTCAAGGTAATTGAAGTATTTAAGGAGTGTATTTTACCCTCTGCTCCCCCAATCAGTTTCCATGGTTGAGTAGGGATTCAAACAGCGTTCAGGAAAGTCCCAGTCCATCGCTCTATCCACTACACCACAGTGGGAATCCTTCAAGACTAGCTATTATATTTTAATGTAAGCATTCATGGATATTAAGAAGTGGGGCTCAAGGTCCATGAATGCTTACACTGAAATGTCATACTCTTTAAGGTGCCACAACACTTGTGCATTTTTTTAATTGTCCTATATATTTTTTGCCTTTTGTTCTATTGTTTTATTTGAGCTGTTAATGTTGCTCTTATTTATGCGTTTTGATATGATATCTGTTTAACGCTTTTCTAATATTGCAATAATTTATTATTTACCTTTTAACTTTGTTTCTTTTAATGCTATAGGCCACCTTGGATACTTTAGGAGAACGGTGACATAGATATTTTAAATCAATCAGTCAGGGTGCTGAAGATGTTAACGTAGTCAAAGTAGAAGCAGGATATAATCTGTTCTGAGCAAAACTGAACATTTTGCACACTCTGAGTAGACAGAGTTAAAATATATTTCACATTCCCCTTGGAATCAGTTGGATTCCAAAATGACCCCCCTCCCATTATATTATGTGATCCATTTTAGTTTCTGTGTACAATTGTACTTCTCATGTAAGTCCAGTTGAATTAAATGGGGGTTACTTTTAAGTAAATATCCTGGAAGTCATGCTGCAAGACCCATCTCCTGGTTGTTCAGCTGAAAATAATATAGTAGCAATAATAGTTAAAATATTTGGAACAAAAATGATATTTAAGTGCTCATTCTCCTTTTTGACAGAAGGACAAGTAAGTCTTCTATTCTTTCTCCCCTTGCCTTAATAGCATTTCTTCTAGTTGAACGATAGGCGGGGTATAAACAAACAAACAAACATATAAATATATAAATATTTAGTTATATTGGAATGGTTGGTAGGTTAGCGGGGTATTAAAAAATCCACTCTGAACATAGGCAAAGGCATGGTAAAATATATTAAGACTTCTACTAAGAATACTAATGGTATTATGACGTATGGACACCCTTTTCAGGGTTTTCCAGAGAGAGATTACTCAAAAGTCGTTGACCATTCCCTTCTTCTGTGGGCACCCTGGGACTGTGCAGCTTGTCCAAGGCCACACAGGCTGGCTCTACTCCCAAGAGGCCCAGTGGAGAATTGAACTCCCAACCTTTGCTTGTACAGCCAGCTACCTAACTCTCTGAGCTATCCAGTCGTCTAATATAAGTTTATATGCAACCTCATATAGAAGTACACACTTATGAATAATTTATCTCTAATTGCTAAGAACTAGATTTCTGATATGGAACATCAGGTTAAAATATTAATTTGCACAGTAGGTGATATGCGTGAAGCATTCATATTAGCTTTCCATTCCCAATTCTTATCTACCCAGCAGTAATAAAATGTAAGAACTGGTGTTTTCCCTCACAGTGTTCTGCTTAATGTCATCTGGAACTGTCCTCATACAACATGTGTAATAATATAAAGTTTTCAAACTGTTTTTTTTTAAGGCCATATATTTCCCTTCTTTGAATTTAGTGACTTTTAAT